GGGGGGGAGGATGATTTGTCTCCCAATCATCACTTGGTTGGACAAGGTGCGAGGCTCGAGTTTCTCTCGGGCGCCTTCGTCGGTTCCCAGCTGCTCCCAACGGCTTTCTTCCAGCTTTATGGGCGCTCTGCAGTAGCAGCGCCTCGCCTAGAGTTTAGCCGGGCATGTCCCTCTACAGGAGGAATATTCAAAAATAGTCAAACCTAGTTTGGATACGATTCTTCTTCCTTTTTTTGTTCATGTTTGAATATTTTGGTGACTATTTTTTACTTTTCGTCCACTATCCGCCTGTAGGAGGACACGCCCGACCTAAGCCTAGACCATTCCAGGGGTGCCCGAACCGTCCCAAAGGGCCCGCGGAGACCCGAGCTATGACCCGAAAGCCATACGACGCGGATCAGTCGGGTCGGACGCGAGGGGAGGGATGGTGAAAAAGGGAGTTTCTAAATCTGCCGCATGCAGCTGGTTTCGGCCCCACCGCCAGGCGCTTTCCTCCATGCATGGCCGCCCCTGGCGCCTGGAGGCAGGACTCATTTTGATTCGATCGGTCCCGGTCGGTATCGATTCTGACTGGCTCGATCCGATTCGGTTCCGACGTCTTGCCGGTCGGGTGCGGCCCGATGTTCGTATGGCGTCGTTGTGCGTTCTTGCGCGGTCGATCTGGTTCGCTTCCGACTCCGTACCGATGCAGCCCGATCTGACGCACATTTCCATTCCATCCGATCTCCCGATGTATTACTGGCTGATCTTGCCCCCCCGGCTGTCCTCGACTGGATTCGTGCCATGGGATGCAGCCGACTGCAACCGACATGCAAATCCAACTACAATGGACTTGCAAAGTTCCAGTTGCCCGTGCAGTCGACCTACAAATTCTTTTGAAAGCTCCTCAGTGCCCCAGACTTCCTGGTCAGTCGAACAGGTGTCCCTTATGTCTGCAGTTGTTGTTTCTCCGAGTCCCCGTCCTCCAGGATCGGCATGACGGAAAGCGGCGAGGAGGTGATTCGCCGTTTTCGGGCCCCTTGGGCCCTACCCGGGACCAGGGGACCGCTAAACATGGCTCGGCATGGAGCGTTGGTTTGGAGGAGTGCACTTGGGCCCAGGACCCGTTTCCACAAGGTCCCGTGTCCTTCATGTTCGGAGGAGGGAGGGAGGGAGGGGTGGAGGGGGGGTGGAGGGGGGAAGGGAGGGAGGGAGGGAGGGTAGGGAGGGAAGGGGATGTTATCTGACAGAGAAGGCGGGGGCGGGAAGCGAAGCATCAGACGAGGAGGCGGGAGGCGTAGGACGAGGAGGACGACGAGCAGCAGCAGTAGTCCCACAAGGAGCAGAGGGGGGAGCTTCCCGTGAGGAGCAGCAGCATGGGGGGCCAGGAGAGGTGCCATTGGCCACGCGCGGGAGCGGCAGGAAGCCGTCGTCGCCCTCTCCGTCCTCCAGATGCCTCTCCCTCGGGCCTCGGCAAGAGGAGGAGGAGGAGGAGGCGGAGGAGGAGGAGGAGGAGGAGGAGGAGGAGGCGGACGAGGAGGAGAGGAGGAGGAGGAGGAGGAGGGGAGCGGGAGCGGAGAGAAGAAGATGAGGATGAGATGATGAGGAGAAGGGAGGGAGGGGGAGGAGAGGAGAAGGTGAGGAGGAGGAGGAGGGAGGAAGAAGAGGAGGAGGAAGGAGGATAAGAGGAGGGGGAGGAGGACGCTGAGGAGAGGATGAGATGATGATGGAGGAGAGGAGGGAGAGGGGAGGAGGAGGAGAAGGCAGGAGGAGAGGGATGGGGAGGAGTAGAGTAGAGTAGGAGTAGGAGTCAAGCTAGCCAGCTCGAGCGAGTCAAGCATGGCATGCCCAGTCCCACCCGCCCTCCCACAACATAAGAAGCAAAGCTGGCACAACTGGGGGCCGAAGTCACACCGGCCAGCCGGTTTGGTACAGCTGATGCGGCCGCGATGGCGGTTGCCGACGGGAACTGGCGAGCGCGTGTTGAATGCCGCGCACGCATTGCCAGACGAGTCGAGAATGGCCCGGTACACCGCAGGTAAGCCAGAGGTGGCCGGAGGAAGCCCGACGGTCTGACAGGACACCCCAAAGCATTTTTGTGAAAAAGCATTGGGTTTTTGATGTTTTTATGTTGAAATGCTTGCAAACACACGGTGTTCGGTAGGATTCTGACATGAACGCGCGAGTGTGCTCTTTGTGGTATTTTTTGCACAGGATTCGCGGCCTGGGTGCATGACAGAGCATCGCGAGTGCACCGCGCGATGACGTGAAATCGCTGGATTTGACCGAATTCTTAAGATTCCTATGGTTTTCCTATGATTTCAGCTAGAGGGCCCGGGCGGGAAATTTGTACAATTTGTGTGAAAAAGCATTGGGTTTTTGATGTTTTTATGTTGAAATGCTTGCAAACACACGGTGTTCGGTAGGATTCTGACATGAACGCGCGCGTGTGCTCTTTGTGGTATTTTTTGCAATGGATTATCGCCGTGGACGACAGGACGTCCATGTCGAGAGGAAAAAATAAGAAAAATGTTGATTTTGTATTGCTTTTTACAGGTTAGGATGGGACCACCCGGATGCGCCCGCTATCTGCCGGCCTGAGAGGGGGAGTAGGAGTATATTCTAATAAGGAATAAGGATAGGAGTAGGAGTAGGAGGATGATGAGGAGGAGGAGGAAGAGGAAGAGGAGGAGGAGGAGGAGGAGGAGGAGGAGGAGGAGGAGGAGGAGGAGGAGGTGCGAGGAGGAAGAGGAGGAGGGGAGGAGGAGGAGGAGGAGGCGGAGCGAGGAGGAGGCGACGATGGGACGGGAGGAGGGGAGGTGGAGGGAGGAGGAGGAGGAGGTGGAGGAGGAAGAGGAGGAGGGAGGGAGGAGGCGGAGGAGGGGAGGAGGGGAGGAGGAGGAGGAGGAGGAGGGAGGCGGAGGATGTAGGAGGAGGAGGAGCGAGGATGGAGGAGGAGGAGGAGGAGGGAGGAGGAGGAGGGAGGGGAGGAGGGGGAGGAGGAAGGGAGGGATGGAGAGGGTGGAGGGAGGAAGGGAGGTTGGGAGGAGGGAGGAGGGAGGAGGGAGGAGGGGAGGAGGGAGGAGGAGGATAGGGAAGGAGGGAGAAGGGGGGGTGAGGAGGGAGGAGGGAGGAGGGAGGAGGGAGAGGGAGAGGAGTTTAGGAGGGAGGAAGGGGAGGAGGAGGGAGGGGAGGGTAGGAGGAGGGAGGCGGAGGGGAGGAGAGGGAGGAGGAGGGGGAGGAGGGAGGAGGAGGAGGAGGAGGAGGAGGAGGAGGAGGAGAGGAGGAGGAGGAGGAGGAGGGCGGGTAGGGAGGGATGGGAGGGAGGGAGGGAGGGAGGGAGGGAGGGAGGGAGGGAGGGAGGGAGGGAGGGGGGAGGGAGGAGGAGGAGGAGGAGGAGGGAGGAGGAGGAGGCGCGGCGGAGGAGGAGGAGGAGGAGGAGGACGAAGAAGAAGAAGAAGAAGCATAATAATAATAAGAAGAATAATAAGAATAATAATAAGAATAATAAGCATACTAATAAGAATACTAATAATAAGAAGAAGAAGAGTAATAATAATACTAATAAGAAGAAAAATAATAATAAGAAGAAGAATAATAATAATAATAAGAAGAAGAAGAACAATAATAAGAATAATAAGAATAATAATAATAAGAAGACGAAGCATAAGAAAAATAAGAAGAAGAATAATAATAAGAAGAAGAAGAAGAAGAGGAGGAGGAGGAGGAGGAGGAGGAGAGGGCGAAAATCCAAGAAGGAACATAGCGATAGACAGACACTTTCGACGGTCCGCGCGGATTTCTTGGGTCGGTGCTTGGGACCCCCTTGCGGCGCCTCCAGCGCCGCCCCTTGCGCGCTACGCGCGCCGGGGAGGGTAGCCCAGCACAGATCCAAGAAGTCCGCGCGGACCAGCGAAAGATGATGTTCATGCCAGCGCAGCAGGAGCTGGAGTGGAAGGAGCGGGAGACGCAGGAGGACCGGGGGGAAGGCGGAGGAGGGGAAATGAGGGGGGCGACAACGAGGAGGAAGGACTCGGACCCAGAAAAGCGGCCCGCTCCAGGGCGAGAGCGCAGTTTTGAACGACGGGAGCAAAGTGCCGATCCGAAAATGAGGCCCACGCTGCAGCGAGAACACCGTTTGAAACACGGTGAGGTGTCCGGCCTCTCTCTCTCTCTGCGGTCCTCCTGCTCTTCATCCTCTTTTGGTTCGCTTCCATTCTCATGGTTTGGTGGATCTTATGTTTGGCCGTTGGCCGTTGGTGGCCAACAGTGGTTACAATTAGGTCGGGCATGTCCCCCTACAGGCGGATTTGGGCAACAAATTGATTTTAGACCCCAAAGTGTTCAAACATATTCAGAAAATGCTACCCGAGAAAAGCCCCAATCATAATCTTGCTATAGGGCTATGGGGCTATAGGGTTAAAGGGCTGTGGGGCTATAGGTCTACAGGTCTATAGGGCAATAGGGCTATCGGCATCTAGAGCTGTAGGGCTATAAGGGGCTATAAGGGGCTAGAGGGCTGTGGGGCTATAGGGCGATTGGGCTATAGGGCAATAGGGCTATAGGGATATAGTGCTATAAGGCTATGGGGCTATAGGGCTACAGAGCTAAAGGGCTGTAGGGTTATAGGGCTATAGGGCTATTAGGGCTATTGGGCTACTGGGCTATGGGGCTATACGGCTATAAGGCCATAGGGCTATAGGGCTATTAGGGCTATGGGGCTACCGGGCACCTGGGCACCCGTGCACTTCCGGGCACCCCGGGCACCGGGGCACCCGGGCACCTGGGCGCCCAGGCCGGCCACCGACATCGGCGGCGAACCTTTCCAAACCATATGAATCCGCTAGGACCCCTACAGAGGCAAGCTCTGGCAGGGGAAAAACCACAAACATCGTTCCCAGACTATGTTTCGACTGTGAGGTGACAAAAATCTGGTGTCGTTGGAGCGTCCGGCCCAGAGCCTCGGCCGCCCTTCGGCCAGCCCCTGGCCCGGGCGCCGCCGCCGTGCGCGCGAGAGCGCAAGGACTC